TTATACGGATTATAGCAATTCGCTTAGCTACTGAAGTGAATCTGAAGACGAAGTCTTTTATTCTCCTCATCAAAATTTATGTCTCGTTTCATGGCAGCTATAATACAGGGCGTAATCATCTGATTTACTTATGCCAGTCCCTTTCCATCGCATTTCCTGTAGGGCAATAATATCGGCTTTGTACTTCTTGAGTACATACGCCAAAGCGAACACTGCGCCTGTTTTGTGCAACGTGCGCACATTCCAAGTGCAGATTCGCAGATCGTGGTCCTTTATAAGCAGAATTTTAATGTCATGGCCAGGGCAACGATCATATGCTGGGTCTAGGCGCTCGTAAAATATGTCTTTGGTTTGTTCATCTTTATCTTCGGTCGGAGCATGGGCGCAAATGAGACTGATGAAGCAGAACTTTGCTTTTATACGGATTATTGCAATTCGCTCAGCTACTGAAGTGAATCTGAAGACGAAGTCTTTTATTCTCCTCATCCAAATTCATGTCTCGTTTCATGGCAGCTATAATACAGGGCGTAATCATCTGATTTACTTATGCCAGTCCCTTTCCATCGCATTTCCTGTAGGGCAATAATATCGGCTTTGTACTTCTTGAGTACATACGCCAAAGCGAACACTGCGCCTGTTTTGTGCAACGTGCGCACATTCCAAGTGCAGATTCGCAGATCGTGGTCCTTTATACGTTTGCGTGGGTCGTCAACATTTGTGGGGTTTGGTTTTCTTTTTCTTTGCTTTTTCATAGTAGGTTGGGTTTTCTGAGAGTGGGCAACTAAGCCGACGCCTCAAGCCATTTTTATAGTTCTTATGGGTAAACTCGCGGCACATATTAGCTCACTATTTCATCGGGTGATGAAAATAGCTCCCCAGGTGGCACCACAAGGTCAGTGTCCACTATTGAGATGAAGGAATGACCAAGATAAGCCTGGAATTCGCCATGTTAAAGCCAATCAGAGCCGTTGCTTGGTATCTATCATCCCCGATGCCACACCCACGCCTATTGATAGTCCTCGAAAAAAAAAATGTTATTTAAAAAATCCACGCTTATCGATAATCCTTGGAAAAATATTTTTAAAGAATTATTTGGACAAACCCTCCCTCCTTTCATTTAAGGTACCTAACAATTCGTTATTTACCGAACGAATATTGTTTTCCAATTTGAACCATTAAATCTTTGGATAATCTTCTTGTAAGCTCCATTGTAGCTGCTGTTGCTGTTATGGCTTATTTGCCATAAATGAGCAAACAAGCGTTGGCTGTTGGTTGTGTGTTGTATGCCGCTGAATGTTTGATCTCATCGATCTTTATGATCAATTAGACTTCTTCGCGCTCTTTGCAAACAACAGCACAAATATTTTTTTGTTTTTTACACAACAACATACAGATCCATACAAACCCAAACATCCAAGCTCTATCAGCCAACAGGTGAATTTGTTGACCGGCGCAAAAGGCATGTGAAAATCTGAAATATTTCTTCTTAACGATTTGTCATTTGTTACAATGTTTTTGAAGTTGGACATGCCAAATGAGTGGTAGAAAAATTGGAATACCAACTGCGCAGAAAAAAATGAACAATTAAATGCTACACATTAAACGAAACAAATGTGATGAGAAGTGGCTGGACATGTGGAAAGGCTACCACTAAGTGGCTAGCAAAACGAAAGTAGCCTTACACATAAGAAACATAAATGGAATGTTACACAACTCTTAAGCTGCAGCATGTTTTCTTCCAGCCTGTTAAAATTCTTACCTAAGAACTTCTTCTTCGTAATTTTGTCCAAAATGGATTTTGATGGATGTGCCAAAGTTGTTGTGGTCAACAAGACCATCATTTTTTTCTGGTTCTAAGATGCTGTGGTGATTCTGTGGTGACTTAACCCACATATTTTACGTCACCATTTCTTCTTCTACTTCGTTTTGAAAGGATTACATATTTAGAAGTTTAGAGGTAGAACTTGTTAACAGTTGTGGTTAAGTCTCGCAAAAATATGGTTAATTGGCGAACTTTTTGACTAATGACATTTTCGGCCAAATTTGGATGAGAAATTTGTGGTGTTTCCTATAACCACTTCATGGGAGTTATCCAATATTTCAGTTTTATGACTATATTTAAGAGTTTATAATAGAAATGGATAACAAAATAAAAATAATGAAGAACACATACGAAATATATAACCAATATAAGTAAGAATGATTTGGGCGGGGCCAACCATTTAATACCCTACCACTGAACTTGAAAAAAATGCGCAAGATTTGGTTTGAGTTAATGAAATTGATATCAAATTAATAGTCAACCCCTCCTCCTTAATATACTATTTTTTTTTTCATTTGACCGGATAAATATTGATCGATTACCATTTTAAACATCCATGCCGTTTTGTGGGCCAAACTCATTCGTGTATGTTTTGGTAGTGAAAAAAAAGAAAAAAATAAATGTTGTTCCGTTTTATGTCCTTTATATTAACCGATAGTCCATGAATTCGACCTGTACTTTTCCAGGCTCTTAGGTTGTTTAAGAAAAGAAGGTACACATGAGAATAGCTGGATCGATTAAGTGCATATTTGTCGTCGGTACTACATCTATTCATTTGGGAACACGGGCATTAATTTCGATAAAATTGTTCCACTATCAGGAAAACGCAACTACGTAATTTGATGCTCAATTTTGTACGTTGTGCAAAATTTGATGGCAATCTGATTAACATGAGGAGGTTGATGGCCAATTTACTTAAAATCAGGCGAAAATATATATGGAAGCTATATCCAAATATGAACCGATTTCAAAGAAACTTGTCACAGGTTAAGTTATTCTAATTTCAGTACGTTTTGTTCCTATCCGCCAAATATTGGTTCCTTGGTGCGTCAATTACTTAAGATCAATCTATAATATAAGGGAGCTAAATCTAAATCTGGACCGATTTTGATGAAACTTGGCAGACACCATTTTAGGCTCAATTCAGTACGTTATGCCAAATTTCGTGCAAATCGAAAGATATATAGGGACTTTGGTACACCATTTACATGAAATCGGACGAAAATATATATGGGAGCTATATCTAAATCTGGACCGATTTTCACGAAACTTGCCAGACATAATTCTAGGCTCAATTCAGTACGTTATGCCAAATTTCGTGCAACTCGAATGATATATAGGGACTTTGGTGCACCATTTACATGAAATCGGACGAAACTATATATGGGAGCTATATCTAAATCTGGACCGATTTTCACGAAACTTGACAGACATCATTTTAGGCTCAATTCAATACGTTATGCCAACTTTCGTGCAAATCGAATGATATATGAGGACTTTGGTGCACCATTTATATGAAATCGGACGAAACTATATATGGGAGCTATATCTAAATCTGGACCGATATAGGCTCAATTCAGTACATTATACCAAATTTCGTGCAAATCGATAGATATATAGGGTCTTTGGTGGACCATTTACCTTAAATCGGACGAAAATATGTATGGGAGCTATATCTAAATCTGAACCGATTGTTCCCAATTTCAATCGGGTTCGCCCTTGGGCCAAACAAGTCAGTTGTGCCAAATTTCATCCAAATCGGATTATAAATGCGACCTGTACTTTGTTTACAATTTAACACCAACAGACGGACGGACATGCATAAATCGACTCAGAAAGTGATTCTATGCATATTCTCAAAAGGAACTATGGGTCAATCTCGTTTCCTTTTGCCTGTTACAAACATATGCACAAAGACATAATACCCTGTACCACAGTGTGGTGAAGGGTATAAATATCAGTCCACGTTTGGTGTAGCTTCCATATAACAGTACAGTCCATGGTCGCTATGTTGATGATTATACCCTTCGCCACACTGTAGTACAGGGTATTATGTCTTTGTGCATATGTTTAAGAATATTAAGTTTCGTTGAAGTCGATTTAGATTTCGATATAGCTTCCATATATATTTTCGTCCGATTTTATGTTAATGGAGCACCAATGAAATGAAATTTAGCATAGTTTGCAGACAGGCATTTGTATGGATTGATGTTAGTCGGTTCACTTATAGATAAACATCACATATTTAAGTTCGTTCGATTTCATGTCAATGTTCCTTCGAAAATCGACGTCTTTTAGTATACATATGTAGAATATACCCATAGTGGTGAAGGGTATCATATAGTCGGCCCTGTCCTACTTTACTACTTTCCTTACTGGTTTTCAATCGAAGTGACGTATTATTGTGAAGAGAACACAAGATCACATGTAGTTTAACCGATTTAAGAATTTTACGTCTATTGTTCCAAAACTGCTAAATTTTCGCACTAAAATTTTCTCAACAAATGGCCCGACTGGCATTTCCTGCCAGTAGGTTGTTATTTGGTAAAATCAAAATCCAAATTAAGCGAAACTTCGTATAGGAGCTAGTTTTTTTATTCACTTCGGAGTGCTGAAAAAGGGTCGCGTCCAACTTTATAATGGGGTTATATCAAAAGATGGACCTACATATTTGCCGAAAAATGTCGGCAATTATATTTTTAAATTACAGCCACTGCGACCAGAAAATGTTCTAAACTTTAAAAGTACGCAAATATGGTAGAAACATATATGGGGGATATACCCAAACTTATACCTATGTAAAAAATTGTCACCATAAATACATCCTACTCCACAAGAACCCAGAGAATGCGCCGAAACCCTTCAAAATAAAGAAGATAGAGCAGTACTTTAATATGAGGACTATATTGACAATCTTCTGCATATACAGGGTGATATAAAAAAACTGCAACACACTCAAACGCCATAATTTTAATTTTTTATAAATTTTATTGAATGGATGCAAAAAATGTCGGAAATGGCATCAAATTTTACAATAAGTTTAAATTTGTTCGAATTGGTCACCTTTGGCACAAATTGGCCTTCAAACGGCCCATGAAACCATCACACGCTGTCCGAATGTTGCTCTGCGGTATTTTGGCCCATTCCCATTGAAGCGCTTGCTTGAGTTGATCGACACTTTGGTATTTTTTTTTTAGTGCCAACCTTGCTTTCCAAAGTACTCCAGACACAATAGTCCAACGGATTGGTATCCGGAGATTTTGGTGGCCATTGTGCGCTGATAATGAAGCAAGGAACCTCATTTTGTAACCATTCTTCTTGGGTCGCTCGTGCTGAGTCATTTTGGAATGTCCAAGGTAGGCGGTCCAAGGTAGGTATCCGGAGATTTTGGTGGGCATTGTGAGCTGGAAATGAAGCAAGGAACCTCATTTTGTAACCATTCTTGGGTCGCGCGTGCTGAGTCCTTTTGGAATGTCCAAGGTAGGCGGCCAGGGTTTCAATACACCCTCTAGAATATTTTCGCGATAATATTCAGCTTATATCCTGATACCACGGTCGATTAATACGAGCGACCCACACCATCATTATAGCCGGCGCTTTAGTTCTGGTGGTCAACCGAAGGTGCATATTTTCAGCTGACCTCTTTGGCAAGTTAACACGATCATTTTGTTTGTTTACAAACTGCTGGACAATGAATGTTTTCACATCGGAGAAAACAAAATTCGGCAGTTCACCACTTTCGGCCAAGCGAAGCAACTCTATAGCTCTTTTGAGTCAATTTTCTTTCCGTTGCGGTGTAATTTATTACATTTTTTGGAATTTCAATGGCTTTACTCCCCTCAAGAGATTTTAAGAACTATGAACATTCGAGCGTTTTAGGGAGGTAATCGTTGTGTGTATTGAGGGGCTCATACAAAAATCATTTTCCCTTCATAAAATGTTCGCAGATATCTTATGAAAATAAGTACATCCTAAACTATATCCTATATAGATCCAGACCAATTCTAATAACAATAATTAATTGGTTCGGTTAGTTTTTAGGTGCCCAATGAATTTCCGCCTTCTTGTGAATGCTAAAAAATATAAGTTGTCTTCGTTGAGTATTTCGGCGTAAATATTTCAACAACTCTTTCAAATCATTATTTTTTCGTGGAAGAAAATAAATTGACCGCAAGAAAGAAATTTGCAACCATTTGTAAAGCAATAAACAACCACAGCCGCAATTGGTCGGTCACATGGCATCAGTGTTGCCAATTTAGCACTTTTAGTGCTAGATTTAGCACTTTTTGAACTCGTTTAGCATCAAAAAAATTGATCTAGCACCTAGCACTTTTTTTAGCATTTTTTAACTCCTTAGGATTTTTTACGAAATTTTGGTTTCAATCCAAAAAATCCCGTTTTTCGATTTCATATTGACGCATTGAATTTTCGCTATGTTTCACGCGATGAATTTGATTTTCCAATGGTCGGGTACTTCATGTGGTGACTATGACATTGTCTGTTGGTAGATTGTTTATTTGGGAAAATGAAAACCCAAATTAAGTTGTACATTTTATGAGAGCGATGTAAAAATAATGAACATGAATTATATTGGAACTTTCTGAAAACAAGTATTTTATTCAGCGGGAATCCCGAATGCCAAGTTATAACCACTTTAGATTACCGAAAAGGCGTGCGTACCCCTTTATATTGGAATTGTGCCAGAATAAGGACCAAAATAGAAAGACTCCGGCAAACATATTTTTATACCCTCCACTATAGTATAGATGGTATATTAATTTTGTTTTTCCGTTTGTAACTCATCGAAATAATCATTTCTGACCCTATAAAGTATATATTCTTGATCAGCGTAAAATTCTATGAAAACTGATTAATATACGCCCCCATTTTTGGGGTAGTCCCCATATAACCCCCTTTTTTATATTAAAATAGTAATCTGATTTGTTCCGCGTTATGAATTTGGTTCTGAGACTCCATTGTAATCATTTCACCTGCTGAGGAAAGCGAGATAAAAAATTAGATCGTAAGGTTTGATAATGAACTATATCCGCATTTAGACCTATCCCATGTGTGGAGGTTCCAGAGGTAGTGGACTGATATTAACCATCTTCAAATTTGAACTACGTTTGGAAGAAATAAAAAAGTACGCAAATGGGACGAAAATTGATAATTGTCTTCATACTATTATCTTCATATTTGTACGCAAATTTGGACATTATTAGTATTTATATTTTAGTAGGTAGATTTCAAACACCATCAAAACAAAAAATAGAAAAAATTTAGTCAATTCGGTTGCGTGTTCGACGTCCTCAAAATGTCGAATAATGGGGAGGGTACCGCTCTCTAGGGGCTACCCCTAAATATGGACCCATATTAATAATTTTTGATAAGGAGATTTTTTACTTAACAAAATTTAAACAATCAAATTAAAACCAATTCTATTGATGAGGGCTACCCTTAAAAGTGGACCAATATTGATAAGTTCTAGTAAGAAGACTATATATCCAGGTAGAACACAATATAAAAATATACAGCAATTTAATATGAAAATGTGCCTAAAAGATTGAAAAACAAATATTGGGGGATGGTGTACCTTAAAACGACCGATATATTCCATTTCCAATATCAAATCTCATAGGAGTAGTACCAACGTATGTGCAAAATTCATTGTTTAATATTAAAAATTTTGTTCTAGAAATTTTTAGCACTTTTTTAAATTTTTTAGCACTTTCTAGCATTTTTTTCAACAAAATATAGCATTTTTCCTCAACAAAGTTTTGGCAACACTGCATGGCATAGCATGTTCGACTAATGATTGACATCGACTTAATTAGTCCGTTTAACGATTACCTAACATTGGCGAATTTTCAAAAATTAGTTTCAGATAACTATATATTTCTTTTTTTATTTGATAATTCAAAATTTTCTCATTTCGTTTCATGTCATCAGCGTTCGAAAATAAACATTATGGTACCGTTCCATAGTGTTCTGTACCGTACCAAGGTGGATAGGTACACTAAAATAACGTACTGTACCGGTACACAAACACTAAAAATATTTTTAGCGTTACTGTTCCGGAGCACAACGAAAATCTTAGCGTACCTGCTGCGGTACACTAAAAAATCGTAGTGTACCGACAGCGGTACACTAAAAATCGTAGTGTACCGGCAGTGGTACACTAAAAATCATTGTGTTCCACTGGTCGGAACACTAAAAATCTTAGTGTTCCACTGGTCGGAACAATAAAAATCGTAGCGTTCCACTTACTTGAACTGTACTGATAGTGTACCATACACGTCTGTTTTTTTTGTAGGTAAAATGAGATAAAATAATAAAAAATAAAACTGAATATAACTTTATTTGCAATTACAAAAGTGAAAATGTCTATCAGAAATAGGTATTTTGGCCAGTTTTTGTGACAAAATTATTCAGCTTTGGATAAAATGTTCATTGATTTACACAACGAACATGATTTTTCCCATAATATTGGGAGATCTCCTTGTAAAATGTTAGAACGAAAACATTATTTCTTAAAACAATTATACCTGCATCCATCTATGATTCATATTTTTAGGAAATTTTAGCAAAAATATTCAAAATTTGGTGATTGTCACACAATCAACATAATAATTACCTGTTTATTCATTAAAAGAAGTGTACAAATTACGCGGATATGGAAAACATATTTTTATGATTTTGGGATAAATATTACAAAACCACACACAGGTACCATATCAACAACGAATTTCATATACATATCCATTATTGGAATATTCTTCCTTTTTATGATTTTTGCACAGGTAGTCTTATGCAATACATTTTTCCGATCAGCACAATCGATTATGGAATTTTCAGTTGCGAGTTGGCATCTGATGGCATCTGAATTTTCACTAGACGACCTTTTTTAGTTATAAAATATTTATTATGTTAAACGGTTGATGCTAATAAAATATTACTAATTTTTAATAAAATATATAAAAAATTAAAAAAGTTTTATATTTATTATATCTATAGGAAAACAAAAAAATATAAATTTTATTCATAAAAAAATAAAATATAACAAATACATCTTTTTGTGTTCCGACAAATGGAACACTACGATTTTAAGTGTTCCGGCCAGTGGTACACTACGATTTTTAGTGCTCCGACCGCGGTACACTACGATTTTTAGTGCTCCGACCGCGGTACACTACGATTTTTAGTGCTCCGACAGCGGTACACTACGAATTTCGTTGTGCTCCGGAACAGTAACACTAAATATTTTTTAATGTTTGTGTACCGGAACACAAACGCTAAATTTTTTTTAGTGTTTGTGTTCCTGGTACGGTACACTACGATAGTGTACCGTTTTTTTGCGAACACTGCATGTCATCTGTCTCTCACACTCTGAAGAAATTATATTAACCTTTTACCTTTCGTTTCTTTGGTCATTTCGTTTTCTTTGTTTCATTCATTTATTCAATATTGATGGATTATGTTTAAAATATTTATTGTTGTTGTTATTCTTTCATTTCTGTTTTAGTTTTTTTGCAGTTCATTAAATATGTGGCAACATTAGTTCGACGAGTGCCGTTACGTATTAAATACCTATAATTAGTGGATGGTTGTGTGTTAGCACATTCAAACTAATTTCGAAAAATTATTTGAAAAAAAACAACACAAAAACGAAGTCAAAAACATATTTATGGTAATATACACACTTAGATATATTTGTATGCAATTTGTCATCTATTGAAAAACATAAATTTCACGATTGATTTGTGTACTGTTGTTTGAAAAGAAATTGAGTTAAAAAATATATTTTTGGCATGGCTAGACAAAGGTTAAGAAATTGACATTTTTATTTAAAGCGTTTAGGTGAAATAGGGGAAATGCTGTCGTTTTTTTTCGAGTCAGCAAAGTTTTAATGAAAATATGAGGTTTGTTCAAAAGGTTTTAGAGAAACCATCCCAATTAAAACCGTAAATTTTTAAAGAATATTTTTAGAGACAATATTGCCAAGATAGGCCTGGATTTTTAAAGAATATTTTTAGAGAAATTATCCCATACAAATAGGCGTGGATTTTTAAAGAATATTTTTAGAGAAATTATCCCATACAAATAGGCGTGGATTTTTAAAGAATATTTTTAGAGAAATTATCCCATACAAATAGGCGTGGATTTTTAAAGAATATTTTTAGAGAAATTATCCCATACAAATAGGCGTGGATTTTTAAAGAATATTTTTAGAGAAATTATCCCATACAAATAGGCGTGGATTTTTAAAGAATATTTTTAGAGAAATTATCCCATACAAATAGGCGTGGATTTTTAAAGAATATTTTTAGAGAAATTATCCCATACAAATAGGCGTGGATTTTTAAAGAATATTTTTAGAGAAATTATCCCATACAAATAGGCGTGGATTTTTAAAGAATATTTTTAGAGATCGAACACAGGCTATAGGCGTGGATTTTTTAAAGAATATTTTTAGAGATCGAACACAGGCTATAGGCGTGGATTTTTTAAAGAATATTTTTAGAGATCGAACACAGGCTATAGGCGTGGATTTTTTAAAGAATATTTTTAGAGACCCTATCAAAGCCGTAGGCGTGGATTTTTTAAAGAATATTTTTAGAGAAATTATCCCATACAAATAGGCGTGGATTTTTAAAGAATATTTTTAGAGAAATTATCCCATACAAATAGGCGTGGATTTTTAAAGAATATTTTTAGAGAAATTATCCCATACAAATAGGCGTGGATTTTTAAAGAATATTTTTAGAGAAATTATCCCATACAAATAGGCGTCTGTATATGGTAAATTGTAAACAAAGTACAGGCCGCATTTA